GGGTCTCACTACTAGATCCTACTCGTAGTGATCGGCCTGTTTACAGCCTCCCACGAGCTGGGATTACAGGCTGCGCCACCATGCCGAGGCCCAATTGCCATCTCAGCGTGCCCCGGGGATCGCACCCCTGGCCCCTGCACCTGCTTGCAGCCGCTTTAATCCACTGAGCTGCTTGGCCGGCCCTGGTCACTGTGGTTTGCATGTGTCCCCCACACTTCCCATGTTGGAACTCGCCCACCATTGTAGCAGTGTTGGGTGGTGGGACCTTGGAGACAAGATCAGGTCACACGGGCTGTGTCCTCATGAATGGATCCATACCTTGCTCGTACTGTGCGAGGGGGTTTCTTGTACCTGCTGCTTGGGCCCCTCAGTACTCATTCGCTCTCCCTCACAAGAGCTGGCCTCAATCTGAACTTCCACCTCCACGACTGTGAGCCAAAAACTTTCTGATAGAGCAGCACAAAACAGACTCATGTAGCTGCCAAGGTGAACAAAGCCAGAGATAATGCACTTGATTTGAAAGCAGTAGAACAAAGAAATACTGTAAGCTACATGGACAACTACTTGTGACGGTGTTGAGCCGGGAAATGAAAAGTACTGTGACGGTCGATAAATAGCTATTAAATAGATGGCAAGTTAAGGTGCAATACATTAAAGGAAAATTGCTTAGTTTCTAAAAAAGTGTTTATGGATCTGGGTTTGCCTTTGTTCTCAGTGCCCTATCTGTTGGAAAAGTTTTTATACACTGTACAACTCGCCTGATGTAATCGAGCCATTCTGCCCTACTGGAAGCACATAAGCGGTGCTGTGTGAACTGCGTAGACACAGAAGTAGCTAATGGATGTGACGTAGGGCCACGGGGGCAGCAGTGCATTCCCTTCCCTGAAACTCGGAGGTGCTGACCTGCTGTGCAGATCCTGTTTATAAATTGGCTTCTAAGCTTTTAGGGGGGCTGGTGAGATGGCTCAGTGGTCTAAAGCACCTACTTAGAACAAGCTAAGCTAAGCAAAGCACAGGGACCACGGTTCAATCCCCCAGCACCACATGTCAGCCAGCCTGCCCCCTGGTGGGCTGAGCTGGCCACATACACACACACACACACACACACACACACACACACACACAAATAAATAAATAAATAAATAAAAATTTAAAAAAAATATGTCTTAAAAAAAAAGCTTTTAGGGACGTTGAGATGTGGGTTAGTAACCTCCCTGGCCAAATACTGTGTTTCCAGGGAAGGAAGAGCTGGTGAGTGTTGTCCTGAGTTCAGGCAGCCATAAACTAGAGAGCAAGTGACCTTTATTTTCTCAGATCGGAGATCAGGGAGCCAGCATGCCCGGGGTCTGGTGAGGTCCTCTTTCCTGGTTTTGTGATGGCTGCCTGCATGCTGTATTTTTACAGGGTGGAGAAAGATATCAAGAGGTCAAGATCACTTGCTGTTACAAGGCTTCAGGCCTGTCGGATTTAGCTTGAATTTGGGGCCGTACAATTCACCCCATAGCAGTGAAGTGGCTCACTGTGTTGAGCCTTACTTTTCTGGAAGTTGCCAACATAGTGCATCTCTGGGCTGATGAAGCCTCACTACCCCGTGGTTCCGTGGCAGCCGAAAGGAAGCCATCCTCCAGTGGGATATTGTCCCCAGTCCCAGGCTCAGCTTGGCCACATATCTCAGTGGCCTTGTCATTGGGTAGGGTCGGAGGAGGTTCCCAAGGCTAAGATGAGGAACCTAACCCACCCTACCTGAAGCAAGTATGCATGGAAAGTTTTCAGGACTAGTCAGCAAGAAGCATGGAAATGGTGTTTGTAGGCAGAAATTAAAAAGTACACAGAGAAACAGGGCGGGCCCTCAGGGGAGAAGCCCTGTGTTTCCTGGAACAGGGAACATTTATGCTTCTCTCAAGGGGGTGGAAACACCCCCAAAAAGGTACTAACCCACAATACATATAGGTATGAGCCCAGATTTTTGTTCTTCAGATGAGTATACATTCGTTGAATTCTCTCAAACTGTTCCTCAGGATGAGATTCCTGCTCTTTACTTTCTCAAGCCAATTTATGGCCTTTCAGTATTGCTGAGGAAGTTTGAGTGTGATGGGTCTGAAAAGAAAAGTGCCTGCTTTTAACCAAGGGAATGAGAATATGGGTTACTTCAGGTGACTTTGACTAGGTCATAGAAGTTGCAGACTTTTAAAAGAACAGTGTGTTTCTGTTTTTGTTTTCGGAACCAGGGATTGAACTCAGGCCCTTGCGCTTGCCAGGGAAGCGCTTACTCCACTGAGCCATCTCCCTGGCCCCTAAAAGAACAATGTTTTTAGTTATGTTTTGTCTTCTTTCTACCTTTTATTTTTTCTGTCCTACCTGAGTGTCAGACAGCAGCCAGTAGTGATCACCTTCAGTTCTTAGAGACAGGTTCACATCATCCTGCAGGCAGGAGGGTTCGCAAAACCACTTCGAGAGCCAGTGTCAGGGTGGTCAGTTCCTCAGAGACTGGGGAGTGGTTGATGAGCCCTGCAGGAGTGGAGATGGTATTTCTGCTTTGTAAGGCAACTGGGTGGTGCCTGCTGACACTGGGAGTGAGCTGGCTGTGGGTGACGCCGGGGTCCTCAGCTGGAGAGGCCAGGATGCTATGACGGAGCCAGGGGCAGGAGTGGCTGTGGGCACTGGTGCAGTAACAGGTGCATTTTACTAGCAGAGCATTTCCTATTGCCTACAGAGGTGCTTTTATTTATTTATTTATTTATTTACTTATTTTTGGTGGAGAAGAAACAGTAGTGTATACACGTATTAGTTTTATATCTAAGATATGCCGCTTAATGCTTCTATATAAATAGTATATTTAGTTTTTAAGCTTGGGATGAATATGTTTCATCATATTGTACTCCACGCATAACTTTTTTTTTTTTTTTTTTTTGTCTTTTTGAGATAAGATTTCACTGTGTAGTTTAGACTGGCTTTGAACTCAATTTGTAGCCCAGCCTGGCCTCAAACTCACAGCCGTCCTCCTGCCTCAGCCTCCCGAGGGCTGAGATTACAGGCATGCGCCATCATGCTTGGTCTTCTTTGTTTTTTTTGTTTTTGCTGGAACCGGGGATTGAAGTCAGGCCCTTGCGCTTGCCAGGGAAGCACTTACTCCACTGAGCCATCTCCCCGGCCATCAGCCTTCTTAAATGCATATTTTTTCTTTCTTTTTTTGCATTTTTAAACAAAATTTTCCAAACACTATCAGAACAGATCAGCTTCAACAGTATCATAACTGATCTTATAACTCATAATTCTAAGCAAGAGAAGCAGTGCGGAGAAACCTCACAGTGGTTTGAAACCTTTTGTAGCTATGTGGTTTTTCACCAGGTTGAATGTGCCAAACATCATTTTTAATAACCACTGAGCCCTGAGGGCCATTTATTTGGGCTGCCACTTAGCTCCGTTGTACAGCATGCACCTCTGCCGTCACCAGGGGCTGTAGGCATTGGTGCTTCAGCACCGTTCTGCAGAGTAAATGAGGCAATGTTAGCAAAGCACTCAGACAGCCCCTGTTTGCATAGTGAATAATTATCAACTACATAAAAATGTCCAGACTTGTCTCTGAAAATGCAGAACTGTTTACACGTGCATATATTATTTTGTTTTCAGAAAAACAGGTTCTTATTCCATGTAACTATTTACAACTTGCTTTTTTCACTGCCCACTCCTAAGCCATTGGCATATCTAGGTCTAGCTCATTTTTGTGTGGCATGTGTTGTTCTGTTAGACAGATACACAGAACATGTTCTCCAAGCCTCATTGCTTTAGCCATGCAGTTGGGTCCAGTTATATGAGTCTGTTAAATAGACAACGCTGCCCCCCCCCACCTCCCTCCTTTTTGTATGCATTTGGTCATCAAATATCTTAGCATTGGCCAGGAGCATAGCTCTGGGCTCGGTGGCAGAGCATGTGCTTAACATGCAGGCGTGAGGCCCTCAGTTCAATCCTCTGCATCAAAAAGAAAAACTAACGTCTGAATTTCAACCTCTTAATGAAGAGGCCTGGGTTTAGAGACCCACACCTGTCATCCTAACACTGCGGCAGAGGCGGTATTAGGAATTCAAGGCCAGCCTGGCCTATACCACAAGACCCTAGCTCAAACAACAAATAAAAAAAGTGAACAGATATTCTTTTAAGAGCCCCTCTTCCAGCTTGCCTTTGAGCCAGACATTCATATATTCTGATATTTATTTCCTATCTTCAGGAGCTGTGATGTCCTAACAGGAGGTGATAGTTTGATGTTTATTGCATTGTCTTTAAAATGATTATAGAATAAATTGTTCAGGTTTTCCATTTTATAAGATTAAAATACAGAAAAAAAGACTAAATAAAAAGGTAAGAAAATAGTCATCAGTTTCATAGTACCCTGTCAACCAACAAATTATTTATGTCTTTTTTTCCCCAGGGCTGACTTTCACAGATCTTGTGAGACTTTTTATTTTTCATTTTGAAGGTAAAGAGGCAGCTAATCAGTGGTTGGTCAGCTTTTTCTACAAAGCAGGCCAGCAAGTCATTATTTTAAGGTTTGTGGGCCATGTGGTCTTTGTCCTTATTAACAGCTTTGCCTTAGTAGCTGGAAAGCTGTCAGATGATACCTCAGTAAACAAGGATGGGTTCAAAGAAGTTTTTATGTATACAGTTCTTAAAACACAACCAAAACATTTTATATAGAAAAACAGGCAGTGGAACTGAGCCTGGTAGCATGGAGGATCACTGTGAGTTCGAGACCAGCCTGGGCATCGTAGTGAGTAGTTCAAGGCCAGCCTGAACTGCATAGTGAGACCTTGTCTCAAACAAAGCGAAACAAATAGGCAGTGCCTGTGCCGAGCTTGCTGGCCACTCTACAGCCGGCAGCGTTGACACGTTGGGCTGATGCATCCATGTGTGTGACTGAAGGAGTTTGCAAATGAACCAAATGGGCTTGAAGGCCACTTGGCAACAATCACACTGGGAAAACGAGTGACTGCAGCCTGTCCTTCCCTTCCCACAGAGATGTGGTATGGCGTGTTCCTGTGGGCACTGGTGTCCTCTCTGTTCTTTCACGTCCCTGCTGGATTACTGGCCCTCTTCACCCTCAGACATCACAAATATGGTAGGTTCATGTCTGTAAGCATCCTGTTGATGGGCATCGTGGGACCAATTACTGCTGGAGTCTTGACAAGTATGTTAGACATTAAAATACCAGTCAAAAACGTTGAATGTGGCTACTCGGCTAATTTCAGGACTCATTTCAGAAATACCTGGATGGGATGTATGAGCATGAGTGTCTTTTAGCCCCAGGTCCCAGTGCTCCTTCCTGGTCTTGCTGTGACCTAACTGTGACGCTGCAGTGGAGCTGAGGAAGCACTGCTGACACCTAGCGGGTTACTTGAAGAAGAAAGGAGTAATTTTTTTTTTTTTTTTTTTAAAGAATAATTTTAATGACAAGAATTCTTAGCCAGGCTGGTACTGGTGGCACATGGTTGTGATCCCAGTGCTGTGGGAGGCTGAGGCAGGAGGATCACAGGTTTGAATCCAGCCTGGACAACTAAGCAAGTTAGCAAGGCCTTGTCTCAAAATAATAAGACAGAGCTGAGGATGTAGCTTAGTGCAAAGGTCTGCCTGCAAGTCTCTCAGTAACTCCCCCCAAAATAAAATTAAACATGTTTAGGAAAGAATCTGATTTGAGGGCTGGGGATATATCCACCCAGTGGTAGAACACTTGCCTAGCACATTCAAGGCCTTAGTTTTAATTCCTAGGAAAAGAGAAAAAGTCCCTGATTTGTGTTCAGGTAATTGCCACCCCTACTCTCACTGCCTCAAGGCTGGTTTTTTGTTTGTTTGTTTGTTTGTTTTTTTAGGGAAGGGTCTACAGGGTGTTCAGGGTCTCACTACTAGATCCTAGATCGGATTTGTAGTGATCTTTCTGTTTACAGCCTCCCAAGAGTTGGGATTATAGGCACATGTCACCACGCCCAGTCTCAATTGCTGTCTCAGCACGCCCCGGGGGGGGGGGGGGGGCAGCACAACAGGCCTGTGGATTGAACTCTCAGCCCCTGTGCCTGCTTGCAGGTGCTTTAATCCACTGAGCTATTTGGCCAGTCCTTTTTTTAAATTTTTTTTTTTTTTTTTTTTGGGGGGCAGAGACTCACCCTGTAGTCTACGCTGGCCTTGAACTTGAATTTGCAGTCCTCCTGTCTCAGCCTCCCCAGTGCCACCACATTGTCTGTCTGAGGACATCCTGATTAACAATTGGAATAACATGGATACTAATATTTTCTTTTTTGGTGGAACTGGGGATTGAACTCAGGTCCTTGCGCTTGCCAGGCAAGTGCTTATTCCACTGAACTATCTTCCCCGGCTCCAATTTTCTTACCTGTTTTTATCCTGTTTTTATCAGTGTGTGTACTACATTATAGTTATACTTTTTTGGGAGAACTGGTACATATATAAATCATATCTTTTTTTTTTTTTTTTTTTTTTTTGCGGAACCGGGGATTGAACTCAGGCCCTTGCACTTGCCAGGGAAGCACTTATTCCAGTGAGCCATCTCCCGGCCCTATAAATCATATCTTGACCATGTTTTTTCTTTTATTTTTATTTGTTTATTTTTTGCCAGCTCAGCCTACCCTGAGGGCAGGGCTGGTACAGCATGTGATGCCAGGGATTGAACCTCAAACCCCTGGACCTGCTAAGCTTACCTAAACAGGTGCTTTAGACCACTGAGCTATCTCGCCAACTCCTTTTTTTAAAAATGTATTTAATACAGAGTCTACAAGGTGTCACTGTGTAGATTAGACTCATAGTGATTCTCCTGTTTTCAGCCTCCCAAGCTCTGGGATTACAGATGCACGCCACCACGCCCAGTCTCAGTCGCTGTCTCAGCACACCCCAGAGACAGGGCCAGCACGGCATGGTGGGGATCGAACCTCTGTCCCTGAACCTGCCTAAGCAGGTGCGGTAGTCCACTGAGCTATCTGACTGGCCCACTGATCATTTATCATTTTTGTACCTGGAATTGAACTCAGGGCCTCATGCTTGCCAAGAAGGCGCTGCACCACTGAGCTACATTCCCAGCCCTTAAATTATTATTATTATTATTATTATTAATTAATTAATTTATTTTTTGGCAGAACCGGGGATTGAACTCAGGCCCTTGCGCTTGCCAGGGAAGCGCTTATTCCACTGAGCCATCTCCCCGGTCCCCCCTTAAATTATTTTTGAACCATTTCTATTTTTGTATATTTGCTTTTGGCTCATGTCACAGGTCATAATTACAAGGATGACAGTAAGTTTAAGTCATTTTAAAGCCCATACTTATTTAAGTGGGTATATTTTTGTATATAGTAAAATTGTAAGCAAACGAAAAAGTTGTATATGTTAATAACCACAGTTTGCATTTTGGTGTGTATACTAGGTATATATTTAAGCATAAGTAAATTCATAAAGCATGTAGAAACATAATATATATACTAATTGGAGGGATTTTTTTTCTACTGTGAATTTAAGCTTTTGTGTGTGTATGTACTGGTTTTGTGTGTGTACCGGGAGTCAAACTCAGGGCCTCGTACTTGGCAGGCAGGTGCTGTACTGATGAGCCGTAGCCCCAGCCAGTGAGTTTAAACCTCGAGCTTCAGACAGAAATCTCTATTGGTATCTCTTGAGTTGAACTGTTTTTGTTTTTGAGACATGTCTAACTTTCTGTATGTTTTAGTTTCTTTGCTTTATTTTTATAATCTTTTTTTTTTTTTTTTTTTTGGAACCGGGGATTGAACTCAGGCCCTTGAGCTTGCCAGGCAAGCGCTTATTCTACTGAGCCATCTCCCCGGCCCCTCTTTGCTTTATTTTTTAAATTTTTAAATTTTCTTGATTCTTTTTTCTTGTGACAGGATCTTACTATATATACTTCAGGTTGGCCTTGAACTGACTGTGTAACATAGCCCAGGCGGGGCTTGAATTCACGGCAGTCCTCCTGCCTCAGCTTCTCAAGTGCTGGGACTACAAGCACTCACTATTGTGCCTGGCTTTGTCTATTCTGTCACTTACTGACTGTTGTAGACACCTCTGCTTCAGTGTTCACAGTGGTTTACTGGGCTCAGGACCTGTCTCAGTTTTCTCAGCCATAGTACAGGGCTCATGCTGCCTACCGCTCAGCACTGAGTGCTGATTAAATGAGATAATGCACCTATAAAATACTTAATGGAATACCTGACACATGGGAATGATGTTTATTTCTGTTTATTAATCTTTGTTTACTTCTGTCTTTAAGGCTTTAGAATAGAGCTCATTCCCTGTGGGGTGGTTTTTATTTATTTATTTATTTATTTATTTATTTTTTAGTGGTACCAGGGATCAAACTCAGGACCTTGCACTTGCCAGGCAAGCACTTAGTCCACTGAGCTATCTCCCCGGCCCCAGTTGTTTTTTTTTTTTTTTTTTTTTTATGAGACAGAGTGTCACTATGCAGTTCACATTAGCCTTGAGCTCACTATGTAGCCCAGGCTGGCCTCCAACTCCCAGCAGTCCTCCTGCCTCTGCCTGGGATCACAGACATGCGCCACCAGGCCCAGAGTCCCTTGCCATTGCTGTTTTCTGGGAGGCTCTTTCCTTTCTTTTCTTCATCATCCAGATTCCACGTTAGAGTGTGATTCAAGTTCCTTAAGCGTCATTCTCCCCAACCCACTTTCTATGGGTGCTAAATTACAGGTCAGCCCAATGAAACATGTATTTTCAGATGTTAGAAACATCAAGCATCAGGGGGCCGGGGAGATGGCTCAGTAGAATAAGTGCTTGCCTGGCAAGTGCAAGGGCCTGAGTTCATTCCCTGGTTCTGCAAAAAACAACAACAACAAAAACAACCTTAAGCATCACACTTTTTAATGTCCCTGGAAGTAGGCAACCAGCCTTGAGTTATTCATTGTTTCTTCCTTTCCCCTTCCCTTCTTTTCCCTTTCCTTTTGTCTTTCCTTCCCTTCCCAAGTTACCACAGCCTTCTTAAACTTGCAGTCCTCCTGCCCCGGCCTTCTAGAATGCTGGGAATGCAGACATGTGCCACCATGCGCAGCTGTTCTTTCTTATTGCTAAAATGTTTCATTACACATTCATATCACATTTATAAAATGCATAAATGTAAATAAGATAAAATGCATAGACATATTTGTGATTGGGGGATCAAACCCATATTTGTGATTGGGGGATCAAACCCATGGCCGTATGTGTGCTCAGCACATGCTCTGCTGCTGAGCTACAGCCCATGTGGATGTTTGATTGAGGGGCTGCGTATTATTTGCATCATTGAAAATCTGTTCCTATCTTGTGTCCCCAGCTAGATTTTAGAATAGGAGTCACACTTTGTAAAACATAAACGTGAGCCCAGGCATGGCGCCACATGCCTCTAATCCCAGCATTCGGGAGGCTGAGGCAGGAGGATTGCCAAGGAGTTCCAGGCCAGTCTGAACTATATCAAAAGATCTTCTTTCAATAAATAAATAAATAAATAACAACATAGAAGTATTCTGAAAGTAAATACTTGAATGAGCACAGTGACCAAAAAGAATTTTGTTTGGAGCATTGTGAGGGGCTGGGGGTGGGGTGGTCATCTGAAAATGTGAATTTTTTTTTTTTTTTAGGTTTTTCTTTTTTTTTGTTTTTCTTCTGAATCTTTTCAAAGTAATTAAATATGAACCATCTTGGTACAGTGTCGAATACCTGTAGCAATGCAGATCAACTTTTGGATAGATGCAGGTCTCGATTTCTAGAAGTTACAGTGATTAACATAATTAATGACAGAAAACAGAAAAGGCAGCCTGTGCCCTTTCGATTAACAGCTATATGATTTAGAATCCTCTGGGTCTTACATGTAGTTGAGGCTGGCCTTGAATTCACTATGTAACACAGCCCAAGCTGGGCTCGGCCTCACATCCTCCTGCCTCTGCCTCCCAAGTGCTGGGATTTATAGGCATCCCACCACATCAGCTTCTCCCCTTTTCATGAAGGGAACCCTGATACACCAGAAGGTGGAGCAGGATTCCCTTTGGCGTGGAATCTCAGAAGACTGACATTTATCACCAAGAATGTGTTACGTACTTCTTAGATGCTGGGTGCAAGCCTAACTGGCATGGGAATAAAGAGATGTTTTTGAGTTCATGGGCAGGTTATGTGGGAATCATCTTTGTCATCTTTATTATTACCTCTAGATTATTTTACTCAGTACATTAGGACTCAGTTTCAGGGAGTCCAGATCAAAAAGCTCATTTCAGTTCTGCAAACTGTACAAAGAATACTTTAAAACTACTCAGCTGGTCCAGCGAGATAGCTCAGCAGACTAAGCACCTGCTTAGGCAAGCACAGGGACCAGGGTTCAATCCCTGGCACCACACCAGCCTCGCCTCTGGGTGTGCTTAGCTGGCCCCTGACCCAGGGAGTGGTGGCGCACGCCTGTATCCCAGAGCTGGGAAGGCTGAAAACAGAACAATTACTATGAGTCTGAGATGCATAGTGAGACCATGCGTTTTAAAAAATAAAATTAAGGGGCCGGGGAGATAGCTTAGTAGAATAAGCGCTTGCCTGGCAAGCTTGAGTTCTGAGTTCAATCCCTGGTTCCACCCCAAAAATAAATAAATAAATAAATAAATAAATAAATAAATAAATAAATAAAACATTGAATAAGCACTTGCCTGGCAAGTGCAAGCGCCTGAGTTCCATCCCTGGTTCAGCAAAAAAAAAAATAATAATAATAATTTAACACAAAAGAAAATAAAACTACTCACCAGAAAGAACAGGAGACAAGATATTTCTGTAGTATTTAAATTTTAATGGAAAAAAAGCTTCAATATTCCCCACGTAGTAGAATTTTAAGTGTATTATTTCCTGATTTTGTTAACCTTGACGTTTTTCTTCCTGACGCCCTTCAATGTTGAACCAGGTGCGGCCATTGCCGGAGTTTACCGAGCGGCGGGGAAGCAGATGATCCCGTTTGAAGCCCTCACTCTGGGCACCGGGCAGACGTTCTGTGTAGTCGTGGTCTCCTTCTTGCGGATTTTAGCAACTTTGTAGCATACACTTCTCCGCTGTGAGGTGGAACCTGCGTTTTTTAGACTCCTCAGAAAGAAGCTAAGATAGGAGGTAGTGTTTTCTTAGTTCTTCACGTGGAAGAAGAGGAACGTGAACAGCTGAGCCCTGTCCTCGTCGGTTCGAGCTCCAGGCGTTGAAGATCTTTGCCGACTCCTGCCCTTCTCAGGAGCGAGTTTCCGTGGCTTTCTCTTCTGCAGATTTTCGTTTCAGAGGTTTTCCACACACGCCTCTGACCAAGCCAAGCCAATGCCTCTGCTCACCCCACTGCACTGGAATTTGCCGTATTTTGTGAGAAAATGTAATGTCTTGTATTTCAGGAACTCTGGCAAATGCTGGCTGATTTCAAGTGAGCAGAGTATGCTGTACTGAAGCTTTAGTTAATTGAATCTTGATTAAAATTTTGGCAAACTCTCCTGTTGCTACATCCTAGTGACAGTAAAACCAGTAGGGAGAACAGATAGGTTTCGGCTGAATGTAGCTCTGAGAACAGATGTAATGCGCTAGTGCAGGAGAGAGAAGGGAAGTATAATCCAGGTAGCACCTCGAGGCCACCATTAAAGAAAAAGTAGCAGACGGCCAAAAGCAGGACATCTAACAGGTAACTATCTTGACCTCTGATTATTCAGTTGGTTTTAGGAGATATGAGTTTGTTTTATACATTTGATCAAAATGAGCTAGCTAAAACCCTTTTCCCTTATTTCTTTCCTTAAGGGTTAGAGTCTTACGTTGCCAGTGTGACCCCAGCTCTTGGGCCCAAGCCTTCCTTTTGCCTCAGCCTCCCAAGTAGTGCGCACCATCATGCATGGTTGAAGTTTTAAATTTATTTTGAAAGAATTTCCATGTGAGGTTGGGGAGGTAGCTCAGTGGTAGAGCATTTGCTTAGCCTGCTTGAGGCCTCAGTTCAAGCCCCAGCACTACAAAAGTAGAAGAATTCCCATGCTACCTTTTTCGGTTACTCTTGTGGTAATAAGGATTTTTTTTTTTTTTTTTTTTTCTCTTTGAATGCCTTCATGGCACTTTTGGCTGGCTGAGTGTTGTGGGGATCAAACTACAGCAACCTGAGGCTGACAGCTTTATGGAAGCAGCCAGTACTGTTACTTTTAATTCTATTTATTTGGCTTCATTAGAAACACACACACTCTATTCAGTAGCTTGACTGGGGATTCTTAAGCTATATTGATTAAGATACTCTGTGGCTATTGAGCACAAATAAGATACTTCCAACATTATATTAATAGTTTTTCTTAGTAACTATTTTTTTAGATAGCTCCTGAGAGAAGTGCAGCAGCAGCTGGAGTTGGTGGCTGTTGATTGCTCAGTGCGTGTACCTGGCGGTAGCTCTTGAGCCCACTTTGGCAGTATTCGAATATCAACTCCCAGAAAGTGCCTCAAACTCCTTTTTCAGTGGTGGCCCTGCTCTACCGTGTACATTTTTATTCAAGAGAATTTATATTATTAAAGAGAGTTAAATATCAGTGTTTTTTAAAAACTCGGTTTTTATCTATTTTGATTTTTACCTTACTGCCTAACTTTTTTTTTTTCCATTGGAAGGCCTGAAAACTGTGACCTTCAAGGGGGGAAGCATTGGAAAAATGAAGTAACTTGATCTTTGCCCCCTGAACTTGTGCATGTAGAACACAATCAGTGTTGTTGCTGTCTGTTAATTAACTGTAGTAATTAGCTTTTGGTGATTAACATTTTTAAAGAAGAGTTTTCATTATGAGATTAAAGCTAACAACCCATAAGGTTGGGGCTGGGGAGATGGCTCAGTAGAATAAGTGCTTCCCTGGCAAGCACAAGGGCCTGAGTTCAATCCCCGGTTCCACCAAAAAAAAAAAAACCATAAGGTTATATATACATGAATTTATTCCACTTAGACAGTATGTACTCTGGCTTCTAATTAAAAGCCAAGAAAATCAGTTTGCCAGGGAAAGTTGCCAAGAAAATTACACAGAAATAAATAATAGAGAAAAATTAAAAATTACAAAGAGATTAGCAAAATTAATTGGACATTTACCCCTGGGAGTTGGATCACTTGTCATAATTACACTGACATCAGATTAGGTCGAAAATTATGAGTGCAGCTCAATGTCCTTTCAAATTCCCTGACAAGACACTCCCTGGTGGTCTAGTGGTTAGGATTCGGCACTCAAATTCCCCGACAAGAGTCTTAAGTCTTTCTTCCAACAAAAAAATTAAAGAGTATAGTTTTCAGTTGAAATAGCTATGATTTTAAAAAGTATATTTCAGTTTAAGATGTAGAGTATTGTACCTTTCATTACGGGAAGTGATTTGATCGTCTCTCACTAGTGTTCTTTTCACCTGAAACATTATTTAGGATATAATCTTACAAAACAACCATGGGGCCCATAGTTGGTGGGCCCTTCCCCCTGAAGGTTTTAAAATATTGATCCATGATGAAAATGTTTATTTTGAGTTAAGAGACAGAAATTTATGAATTTTGGAAAGTGAAAAAGTGTATACATTTGGTTTTCATCTGTTTGGTAGTGGCATATATTTTGACTGTCCACTCTTTTTAAAACTTTAAATATAAAATGTACCTTTGAGTTACTGAGTGTTTCAACCATCCCAGTCTGTGAAGCATTCTCTTGTGAATAAATGTGTGTAGGGGCCAGGGAGATAGCACAGGGGCTGAATTCATTCCCCGGTTCCACCAAAAAAAATAAGTAAGTAAATAAAAAATAAATGTGTGCGGACTGCCGTGGAGCTGTGGAGTGGGCAGTGTTCAGGGGGAAGCTGGAACAATAGCGGAGCATGCATTCCACTTTGGTTGTCTCTCCTGCCTTCCGCCCCGCTCCTTCTGCCTGCTTGTTTTCTTTCTTGTCTCAAATACTGAGTTATTCGTAGGTGGTTGGTCAGATGGGAGCATAATGGCATTTGTGTTTAAACACTTATCTTTTATAGTTTTTTGAGATTTTGCCAACAGTTTTCTTAAGAGATATCAACTAGGCTCCTGCTTATGCTTCTTCCACTTGCCCTTTTCTTTTTTCTTTTACTCTGTCTCTCTCCCTCCCTTGTCAGTGCAGGGGCAGGAGGCAGCCTCCAATAAAAGCTTGATTGGAGCTTGATTTTCATAGGATTTGGGGAAAAACAATTTGTGAAACCAATTGTAGATACAAATGCATAAGAAATAGTACTTGAGAAAGATGTGTCTGTGCTGCTGTTTCATGCAGCAAGAAACATGAGATGTTTAAAACATGAGGGAACAGTTCATGCAGGAATAACTGTTAATCTGCCCTTATGCCAGGGAGATGGCACAGTAGAATAAGCGCTTGTCTGCAAGCGCTTGCCTGGCAAACGCAAGGGCCTGAGGTCAATCCCCGGTTCTGCAAAAAAAAAAAAAAAAAAATCTTCCCTTTTGTCTGTTACCTTTTTAAAATCTCCGTGGCCGTCCTGCCTGCTCTGGTCCCAGGCACGGTCTCGGTCCCCTGGTCCCCTGCAGCACCACCCTCTCCCTGGGCCCCGTGAGCTCAGCTGACCGCCGCAGAAAGTCTTCCTGGGAACTCGCATTTCTTTTCACGCACTCTGTAAGGCTGGTTGTGACCAAAATCAGCTTTTTTTTTTTTTTTAGGTTATTTCACTAACTGCTTCAGTCAAAATGATCAAATCTTTGTACAATAGAAAAGTATTTAAATTTTATTTTTCTACTGACATTTCTAATTTTAGTGTAAATGTTTAACAATAAAGAGTTGCTTAAAACTGAGTTGGAATCGCATTTCTTTCAGTGGCCAATAAGATTTAATCTTTTGTAATAAAGTTGGTTTTTTTTTAGTAAAGCTGTGTTTCTTTACTATTCAACTTTTTACTGATTCCTAGAAAAATTCTTGTTGAAAGATATAAATTATGGGGCTGGTGAGATGGCTCAGTGGTCTAAAGCACCTACTTAGAACAAGCTTAGCAAAGCACAGGGACTGGGGATCAATCCCCCAGCACCACATGCCAGCCAGCCGCGCCCCCTGGTGAGCTGAGCTGGCCACACACACACACACACACACATAAATAAATAAAAGATATAAATTATAATTGTTTTGAGTTTATCTTTTGAGACGGGCTCTTGCTATGTAGTTCCAGCGGGCCTTGAATCCACAGACTGGCCTCAAATTTGCAACAGTCCTCCCTTCTCAGTCTCCCGTAGTAGTGAGATTACAGGCTTGTAGCGCTGTGCCCAGCTTCCAAAAAAGTGTTTTATGATTCTACACTGGTAACTGAGTACTGATAATAGTGTGTAAAAATGTTACCTCCATAGTAAGTCCACCTGTTAATGCCCTCAAGGACACACTCTGTTCTGCCATTTTCAGCAACTTCAGTTGTTTACTTTGGGGAGTTCACCTCAAGATCAAAGGTGGCTGCCACAGTTCCTGGCTTGTACAGTGTTTGGCACGGGTCCCGGCCCCTTCATTTTTTAAAAACTTGAGATCCAACAGAATAAAGCACCCAAATCTTTCATTCAGCTTCGTAATTATACACAAATGTGTACGTACATTCAGACACCGCCACTCACATCCAGAGCTTGTGGCATCCCCAGGCAGATGAAGCGCAGGGGCACGCGGTGCAGCCGGAAGCCCCGTTGTGCACCCCGACACACTGGTAGGGGGAGCTTGCAATTCCCCAAATGAGGAAAACCACGCTCACCAGTCAAGGTAGACGCAGGGCAGGCAGAGCCCTACATGAAGGCCATGTTGGGAGGAATGACAAACCAGGACTCTTAACGGAATTGGTACTGTCAGCCTGCGGAACCCTGACTGAGAAGGAGCCAGTTGTGTGGCTCCAGTTCTCTATGGTGGAATTACGAACTCGGTATTGCCAGATTTTTCAGTGTTTTCAAGAGAAACTGAAAATCTAGTGTTTTGAATCACTTGCTCTTATTGTTTTTATTGATTGATTTAGATGCCTGGAATTGACCCAAGGCCTGTCAAAAGCCAAGCACCCCACTCTTCCACTAAGCTATAGTCCAGCCTAGTTTAAGTTAGGGTAACTAATTTAAATTTAGTTTAAATTCATGTTAAAAAAAATTCATGGGAGACAGTGCATATTTTTAAAATTGGGTTTGGCCTGCTGACCTTTTAGTTTTTTTTAACTGTACAGAAACTTACTTCTAGTAGATAAGCAACATACCAAATTTAAGCATTGCAGGCCGGCCAACTAGCTCAACAGATTCAAGCGCCTGCAAGCAGATTCAGGGGTCAAAGTTTCAATCCCCAGGCCTGCCATGGCAGCCCCGCCCCCAGGGTGCCCTGAGATGGCAATTGAGACTGGGCATGGTGGTGTGTGCCTCTAATCCCAGCTCTTGCGAGGCTGTAAACAGGCGTATCATTACTAGTCTGATCTAGTAGTGAGACCCTGAACACCCTGTAGGCCCTTCCCTAAAGTACACACACACACAAAGTAAA